GGTCAATCAGAGGATTTTCATTCGTAGGTAAAGACGGGGGGTGGAGGGATAGCTGTAACATGTCGATATTCGACGGACCCTGATTAATTTCAGTGTCAAATTTTTTGTTTTTTCCAGAAATACGAAGATTAATTACGCAACAGTTAGATTAAACGTTAAACGCGACTAGTTAACAATATTGATAAATTATAATCCTAACGGGACAATGATAAATGCTGAAACAACATGTAATTGCTTATACTGTTTTGGTGGATATGCATTGAGATTCTCGATTCGCTATGACTACGAATCTGTCGCCTCTCACTCGAATGATATTGCACGGGCAATAATATATTTGTATAATATATATGTAATTTATATATACTATATGATAAACACAACGTATCTGCGCTAACCGATCGAACTGCCGATAAGACCCTTCGGGTGAGCATCAATTTATAGATGAGCCAATGAGACACTCGAAAAACTATATTGCTACTCTCCACGTTATATATATGGGTGTGTGTGTGTGTGTGTGTGTGTGTAGTCAGTTTGTGCTTTTTAATGAGAGAAACGATGATCGCGATGACGCAATCGTGGAAGCGAGAAAAGTACAAGGTCGTTTAACGTAGAAAAGCTATCTTATTCTTTCCTTGCTTCCTTCGTGCTTGCAGCATTTTTTGTTAATTCTTTTTTTTACATCTAAACACCAAAGGCGCTCACTTGCTAAGTCTCGAGAATACGAAGCGCATTTGAAACGAGCTGATCCGAGGTCGCTCCTATTCGCTAGGGTCGCCTAAGGCGACTGCCTAATAAAATTGACTAATGCTTCTCGAGACTGATTGGCTACGGGAGGAGAGTTTTCGTTTTCAATAGACAAAGCGCAGGGACAAACGCGACATCGTTCCTCTTTGCGATACAGTAAGAATCGGCTGATCGATCGGTCTGCTCTTTTCATTCTCTTCAAAATTCTCTCGCAGTCTTTCTCACTCTCATTCACGCTCTCTCGTTCTCTCGTAAGCAGCTGTTATAATAGACTATATATTTCAAGAAAAAAAGACAAAAAACAAAGTGACTAGGCCTAATAGGCGGCGCGATGCCTGGGGCCTCCCGCACCCCGGAGTCAGGCGGTTCCGATTACTCGCGAGTCTCTTTATTATTGCGTTCGCTGCTGTGAAAACTCACCAGGAGTCAATCGTATTTAGCATTGAATTGCTTACAGAGCGCAGAGTACCAGAAGCATGACTCCGAGTTCGAGAGGAAGGAAGGACGAAGAGGTCAGGAGGATCCTGGGGAAATTCCGAAGGACCTGCCAGGGTAGGACGTCTAGAATGAGCTGGGGACATGGACGGGGACCTAGGGCTCTACGAATTGGTATGTAGAAGAGACAGAAGATTTAGAGGAGGCACCACACCACCGCACTTATTGTTGGTCACAGCATCCGATCACAGAACCAGGGATTAGAACGCGGTGCTGGATTGAGGCTGGCGAGCGACGCTGGGCCCGTGATGCCCAAGATGGCCGCCGCCGCCTCCTCCTCCTCCTCCTCCTCCACCTCCCCCGCCGCCAGTGGCAGCAGCCCCGGCGACCTCAGCCCCGACTATCCCGCATCCTGGCTCCATGTCGTAGTCCGGCTCGAGCGCAGGATTGACTCGTCCGTTCGATTCGTCCTTACTGCCGTAAAGCCTTCCGGCTCCCGCCGCGAGGACGGCCATCTGCTCCCCTTCGGCAGGATCGGGCCCGACCCTCTCCACATCCTCAGGAATGTTCACTACGCACCTGAAGAAATCGTAACCCGGCGCCAATTTGCCGGTCATGAAGGCGACGTGCGTGCCGTAGGAGACGCCCACGAGCGTGATCAAGGACAGCAACATGGCCATCGTCCTGAACGGGAAGAGCTGGGTCTTCGTCTCGACGTCGTAACCCGGGTAATGAATCAGCGCTGGGAGATTGATCAGCGGCTCTCCGCCGCTAATGCGAATCAGGAACGCTATCATGTACGCAGCCAGACTGCCGTAGGTGTTGCAGTATTGCTTGAAGTGCACGACCATCAGCAGCTGGGGGAACAGGATCACGTAGACCAGGTCCGAGCACATGGACCAGAGTCCGTAGATGGATGGGATGGTCAGAGCCATTACGGTGCTCAGTACTCCTACGACCCCTATTCCCGTGCGCATCACCCATATGATCTCCATTTCCGAAGCCTGCGTCACAGACCACCACCACCACAATTCGCTAACTTCTCGACACAGAGTCCGAGGCCAGTGCGCGCTGCACTTCCGCTTACACTCATTGCGCCTCTGTTACTCCAGAATGAGAAAAAACTTATGACTCACCCTCTGCCGGAAGATCAGCCTGTAGACGTTCCTGGCGAACATCGAGCTGGCAGAAAGGATGCTGCTGTCCGCGGATGACATCACCGCCGCCGAGACGGCACCCAGTCCGAAAAAGGATACGAAGTCCGGGGTCAGGTATTGAAGGACCATGGGCAAGATCATGCTCGTCTCCGTCTCTGTCAGTGGATATGGACCGGTGTAGTCGGTCTCGTTCCAGGCTGAAAGATCAAACCGCCACCTTGACTGCCATCCGATGCATCTTCAATCTCGACGTTCTCCAGTCCTCCCTCTTACTCCCCTCATCGATAATCAATTCTTCTCGATTCTCAAAATATCCCCAAACAACTTGACAAGTGCGAATTGGCTCGTGACGTAAGTAAATTATTGAGTCTAAATTAATCACGGTTTACGAACACATTCTATGTATATTTAGATAGGCCCGAACCGTCCTTCGATTCTCAATGGCAGCCCCAGGCATTGTCAGTCCACTGAGAATCAGTGAGATCATGTCGCCCTGACTTCCCCCTCGGTGAGAAACCCACATGGCAAAATTCCACGCTATTACGATCGGCCGTGTATTCTCTCCCTTCTTTAGTTCCATCGACCCCCCTCCCCCTCGTATAAATAGCACCCCGTACCAGCCAGCCAACAACCCCTGGCTCATTGTCGTCTCTCTCACTCCCAAGCCCTGCTGGGCCAGCGACTAAACGTCAAGTAGGATCGAAGTGCTCGGCTACGTCGAGCCGCGACTAATTTGATCCTAGTTGAGTATCTACATGGAATAAATAGATTGGAGAGCACTCACGAGTAGCTTTGGCAATCGCTCCGATGAGAACTGGTGGTATTGCCATGAGGATGCACCCGACAGCAGCTACGTAGCTCAGGACTTGGGCCCTGCCGGCCGTCTTCGATGAGAGGACCCGCTGGAAGTAGACCTGCCAGGGTATCCCGCCGAAGACGAGGAGGAGACCATAGTCCACGTAGTACCCGTAGTACCTCGGCTCGATCTCGCCTATCCAGTCAACGTCCATGGAGCTGAGGGACTTCACCTTGGGATTCATCCAGGCGAATGGTATGCACATCCACTGGAATCACGAATGATCGATCGTCGCACTGACTGAAGCAACGGAGCTGGAGCGGAGGAGGGTAGAAAATGTATTTGTTCGATTGCGCCGATAAGCGCACCCTGGAGGCCCTCGGGAGTCACTGGAGTCCCAGGAGCTCGAAGACGATGAAAAAGGAATGGCCAGTGAAAGGAGCAACTGAATGGCTTCTCTTTGGTAGATGCTTAGGGCACGGACAGGCATCGTAGGCGAGAGTGTGCCAAAGCAAGATCGGCTTAGAATATTTCTCTAATCACGATAATTCATAGGGAGTGAATGCGTCGGGGTTGAATGGCCAAGTCATCGTATGAAAGTGGACTGGTAGGTCGATTCGCTCCTGGAAAGAGCACTGGGAGGGTTGTATTTTGTTGTGAGGGTAGGAAATATTGAACTAAATTTGGTAATAGGAACGCTGGTAAAGACCGAGCCCTCTTATCGATCCAGTGCTTTGTAGCTCTTGCGTAGGCAGATGACGCCTTTGAATTATAAATTTATCGTGTTAAGGCAACACGAAACGAGTTTGATTGATTGGACGGGCCGGCACGTCTTCGACCCAGGGTGAGAGCAAGGGTTGTTTCCATATCGGGACTGGAAGAACTGTCAAGTGGAATTTTCAGACTCACCAATCCTATAAATATGCAGAACAGCTGTATGACGTCAGTATATGCCACGGAGTAAAGCCCACCAAAGAGTGTATAAAAGACGGCTATGCAGGCACTCAGAATGACGGAAGTGCCTTGATCCATGTCGATGATGACGGCGAGGGTGGCACCTAGGGCCGCCAGGATTCCTGCGGCCCAGAAGACCTCACCGCAAAGGGCCGGCAGGAATAACAATCCGCCCATGCGCTCCCCGAACGCGTCCTGGAGTGGATCCAGCATCGTGATGTACCCCTGCTGTCGCATCTTGTTGGCAAAGAATAGACCACCTGCGACATCACCGGGAACGGATGAGCTCAGCGGGCTCAAAATTCTCTTGCGATACTTTGCTCATGGCTGCTGACGTATGGCTACATTATGAACTCACCGAACACGAGACTGAGAGCGTAACCGAAGGGTGCCTGACACCAGATCAGACCCTTCGTGTATATTGCCTCGGCGGTGCCGTTGATGTATCCACCGCCCACCCAGGTAGCCGTCATCGTGAAGATCCCGACGAAGAGGCCAATGGACCTTCCGGCCAGCATGACCTCTTCCTCGGAATCGTTGCCCGCCTCTTTCTTCCTGGCGGCCCATATCCCCACGCCCAGGATCAAGACGTAGAACAGGACGATGGAGATGACTCCCGCGATGTTGATCATCTTTGGGGAGGATAGGTCGACCGGCACGAGGTCAAGCTCACGGAGACGAAGGTCCAAGAGGTTCGGGATGCGATCTGATTTGGGAACGTTTGGAAACCTGAACGGACGATCAAGAGCGCTCTTGCAGAGTGAGACACGGAGACAGATTCAATGCAGAATGAGTACGTAGGTATGGAAATGTAGGATGAAAGTAAACTAGATGGTGCAAGTGCATGCTTATGTGGGGCGCAGCTACAAGCTGAGAGAAGAGAGTTGTGTCGAAGGTCAGGAGAGAAGTGGGAGGAAAGAACAGAAAATAAGGATTGTTTTTGGTACCTCTGGAGACCCCGTGGGGTGCAGTCGCGCAACAGCGGGGGACAACCTCACACGGGTACGGGCGGCATGACCTGATGACGGTCCTTCCGGACGGCCGTCAACGATGGAGGGCTGGGATTCGGGGGGCAACAGTCGCCCCACCGGAGCGAGGTCTTTTGGGAGGGGCTATTCCTTGTCCTAAACGCGAGGCCGCCCATGGGCGCTGATGGCCATCGATTTCCAACCAACTCACTGGTACCGCCGCTTCGACTTCTTCCGATTTTGCCTTCTCTTCCTTTTCTTCCGATTTTCTTAAACGCACCTGGATCCTCCTCCTGGAAACAGGAGGAGCACTCTTGACACCGTCAACATCCCCGGGGGGGTCAATTTATCCCTAGCCAGTCTCTAATCCTGACGGGAAATACCAAACTACACTTCCTCTAGGCTGCATGATCATCACCGTGCATCCGGTTATCATAGTTCATTCTCAGACTCCTCGCAGTCATCATCATCATCGAGTACAACATTCACAATCTTATATTACTCACGATCAATCACCCTTGCCGCAAGCTTCTCTGATTTCCCTTATCACTGTTAACTGTTCCAGTAGACGAAGATACGTGAGACGTTGAAAAATTGAGACACTGAAATAAGGTACCCTTAGACGACGAGGAACACGAGGACGAGATCCCGACGGCGGCGCCGGACGTCGGAGCGGCCTAGATTCGACGTCCCAAGCGTCGCGGCGGCCTCCCCGCACTGAGGCACCCTCGCTCGAAGCACGTCTCTCCAGCCGAGGCACGTTACGCCACCGGAGAGCCGACGGAGAGCGACGAAGGGACACGGTATAATATTGATTCGGCCCCCGTGACGTCATACCGCCACCACCACCTCCATCCTCGTACCAAGAGTAGCTTCGCAAGCTTCTTCACCTCGACCACCTCCACCAGCCTCCTCGCGACCCAGCCCCTTGATTTTCGGGGCGCGGGGCGTGGACTGGGCTGAAGTCTCGAGCCTGCGCTTCGGCCGTGCCTCATCCTCCAGCCGGTCTTCAGGTTCCTAAAAGAGGACAGAGGTGAACCAGGTGTCACGGCTGCCCGAGATATCTCACAGAAAGTACCAGGATCCATTATGAATTTTATATTCTTTGTAAAGATAGCGCCGGAGATAGTTCATGAACGTAGAATGTTTTTTTTTTTAAAAAGCCAAAAGAATTATTGAATTAAAAATTTACCTTTTCACCAACGTATTTCACGTTTAGAATCGAGGATGTTATCGGATATACCACATACCGGGGAAGATTATTAATTTATTTTGGCTAATGAACTTTAATTAACCCATCTGAGCTTGCTTTGGCCTCGATGGGAGTTCGTGCTTCAATTTCATGGTGATTATTAATAACATCGTCTATGCACGTACGAAAGCGTTGCACGTAACAACTAGTGTGGAAAACTTGTGCTACCATTTTTTTTTACTTTTATACAAATTTCTGCACATAAATAATTACATTAGAGAGACAGTGGACGATGGCTCAAGAAATATCATAGTGTCTACAAGAATTGATTCTGATACCTTAACGAACTTTGACAGTCCAATCTATAATGTCTTTCGCAAACAATTAAACCCAGCGAGCCAACCAGTTCAAAGCGAAAAGGTACCATCGACCAATATCTATTAACAGAAACGCATTTGATCCCCAAGAGAGTCATTATCCAATTTATCGTCCTAGCAATACCCGTGTCCTTTGGCAGCTAAGCTGAAACCCATCACCAAGGGCATATGTGTAGGACGTGAAGCAAAGACATAGGTAGATCATAGTCCCACCCTTGTCCCCGTGTTCTCACGGGTCGATATCACTTGACCCACTCTTGACAATCCACGAACAACGACGTCATCGTCCTCGTCCTTGTCGAGGAGATGCTTTTTGCGGTGAATTAAACTCACGAAAGAACTAGAGGAGCATGGAGTGGCATCCATGAAGAGTTCGACGATACCATAAACGGCATATATGTATCTTCGATTTTACACGTGAAATCTCTGTTTAGATAAAACAATCCAGAGTCCAGCATATTATCTAAAATCATTTTGAATTAAAAAATAAAAACCCTTCCTTGTTTTTACGCGTGTCGCTTCTTTCAGATTAAAATCAATTAGTATTACCTAGTGGCTTTGGGCACCACCTTGCAAGTGGGTCGTTACGTGTCGGATTGAGGCTCCGATTAGCGTGACGAACCGGTGTCAAAAGTCAAGCAGAAGCGGCTCTCTCGCGGATGGATGGAATACGCGCATTGAATTTCGCCACGTGTCAGGTGAAGTTGGTGAACAATGGCCACGTGCGAGGAGGGACCTTCCGCTGGAAAGTAGTAATACGAGCCAGGATTAGGATCAATGTTAATGTTAGTACTAGTAGGTTATAGTTAACGGGGTTCAGTTCCCTCAAGCTTTTTGAGCCACGTGACATACTCTTTTAAATGAAGCGTGTCTCGTTCTCTTCCAACCAGCTCTGCATTAACTCAACATCATCAGGATTATTCAGAAATCCTAAAAGAAGTAAGAAGGAAAATCTTCCTGGATCCCTAGGTCGATTTTGGACTTTTTTGGGAATTTATCAAGATTTTCTTGTTCCTGGCCGAGAATGTCAACGGCTGGTAACAAGTATCGATCCCAAGAAAGACCTCAATTCCCCAGTGGCTCTTTTGCGTGCAGCTTCACAAGTCTTGAGTCAGGACGGGACGTAATCGGGCTGCTAACATCGTCTGTGAACGCTCACCCTGGGCATTTTCTGCGTTGTCCAATTACCTGGACATTATTCATAAGCAGATAACGGGACTTTTTCGTCAGCGAGATATTATACCTGAAAATGTCGATGACACGGTAGTACGTCATGCTGGGTATATTTACCAGTGGGAAATTCGCAGGTCCGAATTGAGGAGAAGACTGTGGGTCGATAAACATTCTCTGACTTGGAACAATCCAATGCAAATTCCTAAAGGAACGCTTAAATTCAGGATCGAAATAGCCAGTGTTGTATATTCACAAGATTCCCAGGCATCCGGGTCCTGTTCGTCTTCCTTTTTATTATTCTGAAATTAAATTTGTATCGGTTATGACGGCAGGCAGTTCTTTTTACCGTTGCATGAAAGATCATCCTCTATTTTGACCATATGATTTCTCATACTTCATCCTCGCTCTGGCATGTTACTCTTTTTATAAGAGAATAACCGGGTTCCCTGATGTTCAGTATCTCTGTTAAGGAGACAGTGAGAGCCCAAATTCGAATTTTGAAAGAACGCCTTTCATCTGATAACCAGGTATTGTTCTTGATTGGATACAAAGTCAATATGTGACCTGGATCAACCCTCTTCTTATCCCTTCCAACGGAAGTGCCTCTCGATGAAGGAACTGGGTCACAAGTCATGACCTATGATTTCTTTCAGCTATCTTTAGAGTTAACCTGAGAGTCTGTGACTCCACTTAATTAATTGTGTCTTTTATGCTTGATGCATTTAAAAAAGCTAATGTTTCAAGAGCTGACTTAACAAGCTGCCAGCCAGGCGGAATTGTTACGTATTCATTTCTTTGAATAGAGGGAGGCTGCATCTACGAGTGTTTGACATTAACATCTTTAATCAGGGCTCGTTGGACCTAGGGTTCTCAAACTAATACTATTACTGCTGCTTCTTTTTATCCTTGGCATCATTTTCATGAAGCAGACAAATGCCAAGACAGCAATTTTTGAAACGGCTCGATGAATATCTTTTTAGAGTAAGTGCTGCCCCGTTGTGTATTATATGACAATAACGCATATTATTCTCTCAATCGGTAATATGCTGTAAGTCGGTAATATCTTACCCATGAAATAAAGATCAAGAAACAATATTTTTAGGTATGACCTACTACTGGTAACACAGTGAGGCCACAGAACACCCTTAACAAAATGACAATTGTTAAAGTGAGTAAATACAGTTTCTTGTTTTTTGATGATTTGAAAAAAGTAGTCTATTAAATGCAGAAAGATGAATTATTTTCACGGCTGGTTAAAACGGTAGGGTTTTTTTGTTCTCCTGAAGTAGACGTAAAGCACAGAGAAACGCTCGGTAATCTGTTTCCAAACGACCTCCTCTTTCTACTCCAAAGCATTTGTGAATGACATTGAATTCATTATTGCTAATTAAATGAAGCATATTTCTTGTTGACAGCGCTCTGGCTAACTGCTCCTTTGTCACGGTACCAATTCTTTCTTTGTCATAATCCTTCGGGAAATGAAATTCGAACGATTCGTTATAGAATCTTAAAATTTCGGATTTGATAGATTTGGATACAAACCGTAAAAATTTCCTGCAAGTTGGAATTCATGGATACACTGAGTTTATCCATTGCTTGGCCGAGGGTGTGTCTTTCTTCAAAATTCAAAAAATTCCTGCTACAAGATTCTGAAGGTATATGTTGTACAGGAATCAAAAGCGGGGCTCTTTCTAGACACGAAGTGGCCACAGCTTCTTCAATAGCATCTCCGAATCTTACGTACTCGATGAATTGTGGCCTATCAGATTTTAGGCGATTTTAATGACTTGATTTTATAAAATATTATTTAAGACACACCTTAACGGAGCACGAAAAACTTCCATTATTGTAGCCATTTCTGTGCACGTTAGGTTACACCTAATCTGATCAAGACCTCGAATAAAATCTGCCCTACTAATCACTTGTTTGTTAAGTGTGTCAAAAGGGCGCATGAATTGTGTAACCTGTGAGAAGGTAGAGCTGTAATTTCTGAAAATTCAATAAATCAGAGGGAATTACTTTAACTCTCTCGCGAACAATTTTAGCCTTAATTTTAGCCAATATGGTAACAATATTTGTTTCCTCCTCGGTTGGTTCTGCGGGCAACTTTTCTGCATTAATTATTTTTTTCTCTTCGAGCATTGAAAAGTACAAAGGCTCTGTAACTGGTAGAGATTCCAGTTCCTCAATGAAGTAGACGTAATTGAATCCTATGTCATCATTGTATCTTTGTTCAAGAGCAAACACCTCTTGCGTAGATAAAAGAACTCCAGAGGTCGTCAGAACTTGTCTCATTTGTGTCCTTGATACGTGACCATGATTATGCCTGAGGTATAAAATAAAATGAGTAACAAAAATTATTTTTCTACTGACCATATATTAAAATATATAAATACTTGTCATATTCTTTGAAAAATTGCTTCAATATTAATCCACGTTCGTTGATTCTATGTTTTACTTTCTGTAAAGAATCTTCACAGAGTTCTCGCAAACTCTTCTCCTCGTGTTGCCAATCTGATTGACCTCTTCGACACAATTCTGTAATCTCTCGAGGTGGTGATTCTATCCTTAAGTTGGGTAGTTTGTCCAGTTCCTTTACCGTGAAAACTTAAGTAAATGAAGTTATCTTAAAGTTTCTAAATATTTATACTGCTGATTACCATGATCTATATCGTCTTCAAACGTTCTCCAGCACACACGATCTGGATTATTTGGATCCTTGTACAGAGTAATTATTCCATTGATTTCAGCTTCAGCAAGATACAGTCGCCCTAGAGACGATACTTGAAGAGCATCGATACCTCTCCTAAATTGAGAAATAGTCACTCGTCCCACATTCAAATGATCAAACTCCTATGTAAGATATTAGGATCATTACAAAGTATATTGAAGAACATTCAGACAAACTCACCTTAAAGAATTCATGGATTCGAATGCGATTCTCTAATATGTGTCTCTGGATTCGCTGAATTACTTCCAAAAGGGGCATTAAATCTCTGTTTTCTTTTATTGCTGGGTGGAATACTGATTGCTTGCCAAACACTTTACTAGGAAGCACTTTACCAATTTCAGGTCTAGGGAGTTTTGGTAACTCCGCAGTGATCACTCTTCCAGGAAATTGATTGAGAAGATCCTTTAGAATGAAATTTAAAACAATGTGTAGTGCTACTAGCATACATAAGAATAGCTAATGACGCCATACTCCACCCAAATCAAGCATGCCATGTTGATCCATATAATTTTGAGCCTCATCTATAGTCTTGACAAAAGCTACATAATTGACAGTGCAGCCATCCTTAGCATATCTCTTCACCAGAAGATTGAATTCATCGGCAGCCAAAACAATTCTCAAAAAATGCAATATTCGACCAAAATGAGCTATTGTAACTGTTCCAGCGTTCTTTGCTATCTATATTTAAATAAATTTTTTTACTGTATTTTCAACAAGGATGATCATCAAATACTTACAATTTCATAGTCTTGAAAGTATGGTCTGAGCACAAGTTTTCTTTTGTTAATAAGAACAGCAATTTTTGTAATAATTATATCCAACTTCCTGTGTTCAGTAGTACTCAAACGATTAACATGTAGAGGATCTTCCCATTCCAAACCAGTAGTCAATGGCTTGTTTTTTCCAAAGTCAGGAACTAAAGAAAATCAACTTGTCCTTATTCAGGATTCCTCTGAAACCCTATATGTATAATACATGATGGTTCTAATGTATCCGATTAAAAATAAATAACGCAAATGAGCTGAAAGAGTCACCCTGGATAATTATGGTTATTCTGAAAAACTGCGAATGAAGAAAACAGTTATATCTGCCAAATGTAAATTTTCTAAAGAGCAGTCTTTAAGTCCCATAAAATCCATACCTGGATCTGGACTCCCTTAGTGTAAATTGTATGTACTCGTTACGGTATATTCTAATAAGGCCCAACAATGCCTCCCGAGAAAAGCAGTAAATCGTAAGTGAAAGAATAGTTAGAATCGTAAATGCTCAGGTATAAAAACTTTATTACGACACTCTTTTACGACAGCTTACTCCGTGATATGTCTTTGCACATTTGCAAGAAATTATTTGTCATACCGCTATCGTGGATAACTTCGCAGAATTGACTATACAATATTCGTCCATCCTGTAGTCGAAAGTAATCAGCCAAGTCCCCGATTTCCTGATCTGACAAGCCAATGGGTCCTCTCAACGGTCCCGCCAAAACAGAAACGAATTTTGATTCTGTAAAATAACGGTATTATAAAAACAGAAAGTAATGAGTTAAAAGAGTATTTTGAAAGAACTATAAATATAGCCATAACATGGGGTTCCACGAGTACCTGAAATGAGGCTATTTTTGTTCGGGTCTAAGGGTCTATAATAGTCCCAGAGGTTAAGGCCCACACGAAAAATGGCCGCACGTATCTTGTTACAGGTCCGCCATACATCTCGCAGCCTCAAATTCTAGAATTTTTGACAAGAATATATTTTCCCTGTTGCTATATGGTGATCGTTGATTACCTTATTTCCTCCTTCAGGCATTTTAAAAAATTCCAAAATTTAGGAAACATACAAAATTTCTCTTTGCCGGACTAACGCGGATCAGCAAACTTCCAATGAGAGAACAAAAAAAAATGAGAAAAAAAATGTACAAGCGGCATTTGTATCCTTCGTTTGTCACTTTCGGTAGCTTCGTGATTTTTATTTGTCATGCATTAAGAATCGATTCGCTCTTTCGCGATCACGATTCCAGTATTAAAAACAAAGATTCGCCTCCTTCAATTTGAGAATCTGAAGTAACCCCGCTCCAAAGTTCTTCTCGCGCAGCTTCGCGAATTGGTTTCTGCTTGAACTATTTTTGTTGAGTTCTGTCTACGTAAACATTGGAGGTTATCGTGTTCCGAGATTCGGAACGTGTATTCGAAGCCAGCTGAGTGACGACGTGGTGCGATGCTAGAGGCGAGAGCCAAATTCCGCGCGAGATGGTCCCACGCTTTATTGATTTTCTGCAAAAGAGCGCGTAGGCATCCTAGGAAGTGACGTGCCGGATACCAGGAGCTCATTCTGCACTGTGATTGGTCAACGAGCCCGTTCCTCTCCTAACCAAAGCCGATCTCTTTCACTTGCGCTCCCCCACCGCTGCGATGATTCCAGCCCTTCCTCGTTCGTTTACAAACCTCCGACGGCAGCATCGATTCGTGCGCCAGGGCCGTACATAAATTCCTCTAGTTAAGGGTTCCATAATTACCTGAAAGGAAGAAATTTCTCAGTAAATTTTTTAAGGCTGAACGCATGCAGCATGCAATCCAGAGATCGATACCGGTATAATAATTCATGGAACCAATTTGATTGTGGAACGAAGCGGCTTTCAATAATTGATAAGACACGATGGCTGTGGTGTATGCTCACGCAAGAGGAGGGTTTGAAAATTGAATGGAAATAAAGTTTCGCCGTAGGGTTACTGGAAGTCAAGTTGATAGCCAGCAATTGAGGTTAGCGAGCAGGGAGTGAAGCCCTGCGATACGGTAGTGGAAGTGCCGTTGGGATTGGCGGAGAGGTGCCAAATGGTGGGAGTGAAGGAGAAGCCCAGAATGCATCGGGCGCAAACTCACGAGTCGAAAGGAACGAGTTTCGGCGTTCTCCCTTCTCCATTCGGCAGCGGAGCGGTACGGACGCCCGGAGTGTTTGTTAGCTCGTGCGGTCAAAAGAAGTCTTTAGTTTCATCGTGGTACAGCGTCCTGTGTGTTTGAGAGTGGTTATTTAGGTAAAGCCTATAACAGAAAGAAAGAAAGAAAAACATGGCCGATCAGGAGAACAAGGACTTCAGCGAGGATATCGCCGATCAGAATTTTGAGCAGAACGGCGAGGCGGAAAACGGCGGTGGAGGAGACGCCACTGAAAATGGCCAGGAATCTCAGGAAGACAGGTAATCTATCGGCGAGTACGTGGCTCTGCCGCATTTCGATTCGTACGTCTCCCTCTCGTGGCAATTTTGACTTGATCCGATGAAATTCGTGGGCAAAACTTGTGCCAAGATAAAGAAATACGAAGGAGGTACGAAGGAGAGGATCGCTTGGCGTGACTCTCCTTCTACGCCGCCGTACGTAGACTGAGAACAAAATGGCGGTCGCGCGCGGTTCGCCTGGGATAAAAAGTAATCGGCTCGCATCCGCGCGAGAGAAGCACATAACCGAGAAATAAAGAAGGCCATCTTTGACGCAAGTACGCTCGATTTGTCGGGCTTGAGTATTTTTTGCATTAACGGGATTTTACTTGCGAGAAATTGGTAACACTGTATCAGTGGAGTGGAGACGCCGGCCGCAGGCTTAGGGCGGACGCGCCCACACGCGCATCTACGTTTACGCACTCACAAAGAACCGGGCCGCGAGACGCACGCACAATCGAACTTATAAAATGGCGGGGACTTCTTCCACGCTTGGCTTCGATTAGTTTTCTTCTCTTTGTTGCGAACTTTGTTGCGCGTCCTCCTAAATTCTAAGATATTCGTATCTGTTGCGTTACAAGAGACGCGTAAAAATATTCTTTTTCTGATTATCCTTAGACAATACTGTTTACGCAATGGTAATGAATAACGATCAGAAAATGTAATGCGCAAGATCCATTATTGAAATTTACTGAAACTGCTCTTGTTTTGATTATAGTCTGTAAGAAGTTGAAAATTTTTGGCTCGCTCGCGCTGACGCAGAAGCAGCGACACCAGCTTGCTTTTCCATTTCAGCATAATGGCTGCCAGAGAGCTGGACGATTTCCCCGCCCGTCGGCCAATCTTTCGTATGTCGGATGTGCCGGTGTCGATGTTCGATGTCGTATCGCGGGATTATTTACACGGTACTCGCACTCTTGTAAATATTCTGTGATTTCGCATCTCTCTCACTCAGACTCTCCTTTTTATCTCAAGAATGAATGTTGTATAACAACCATTTTGGGCTTCGTACTTCGAGCAACCCCGAAATATCTACGTTCTCTCTCTCTCTTGTCTTCTCTTTTTTGTCTTGTTTTTTTACATCCCTACAGCCTCTTGGATTCTGATTGTGAGATATCTCTTGCTCTTGTTCGGGGTATGCTTTTCTGATACACACGGGTAAGCATCATCACTAGACTGTAAAATGATTAGAGATATTACGATAAAGTCCTTTTTCTGGGAAAGTGGACGTAACCTTCGAATTTCGAGACTCCCACCATATCGCAATTCGAGCGCGAACTACCGCGGAAACTAGGTCGTGGCTCAACTTTTTTTCCGCGTGGTGAGGAGTTAACGATAGCGCGATAAAGTGAAAGAAGAAACGTAGACGCGAGTTCCGAATTTGGAGAGTTGCTTCCTCTTGCCCGTTAAGCGAGCGCACAAATCGTGCGCGTCGTTAGAAGAACAACGAGTAAACGGAGGGACGCGATAATCAATGTAGACGCAACAAAGGAAAACAAACGAACGGTCCGAGGTCGGCGCTCCACTCTAATAGTGTAAAATAGAGTAAACGAAAACGGAATTATTGCAGAGAGATAGTTGCGTATTTTGCATGCTTATTTGTCAGAGAATTAAGATAAGGTAACTGTATGCCTAATGATACGTAATGATTAGCTGTAACGTTTTATAATGTGCTTCTTATTCTGTTTCAAAGATATTGAGATCTATGATAACCGTCTACGATTCTGTATATCCCAAAGTCTTATAAATTTGTGTAAAAACTCCTCTCGTTTTACGCCTAGCAACATTATCCATTAATTGTACTCTATCTCTGTTTAATAATTAAGAATTGTAATCTTGCCATCGACCAAATTTTAATTATCTACACGTAACACGATTAATAATTTTGTATAATCATGTTTTTATAGAGCGTAAACTTTCGATTGTCACTTTTTGGCCAGCCGAGAGTCTTCCTTCGTTTACTTCCTTCATTTATTGCAGCCGAATTCTGTGTGGTTGGCCGATTCTGTCGTGTTTCACGATTGAGAGACAAAACGTACCGCTTGCCTGGGATCTGTGAAAACTGAATACGTGTGAAGCATTGTGAACAAAAAATAATAATAATAATAATAATAATAATGAAAAAAAAAAAAGAATTGTTGTGAGAAGTCAACGTGTCAAGTTCAAGTCCGTCATGTCTGGTCACGGCACACAAGCACTGGAAGTCGAGTCAATTGCGTCAGATCAATCAGAGTCTCGCACAGACACACACACTTGCCTGCTGGGTCACGCATAGAGTCAATTACGATCCGATGTCAATGCAGTTTGGGCGTGACCAAAGCACAGAGTCACTAGGGCCAATGCGAATACCTCCGATAGATCGGAACGCCATTAACCCAGTTTATGTGGCTTGGTCTGCAGGTGGCAAACGACCCAGTGCGAATATGGCGGGCGGCTCGCAACCGGCTAACGGTGACCCGACCAACAACTGAGTACCGGCGAGTGACTGGTGCCCACGGTATTTATCACCAGCCCTAGACGATATAGGAAAAGATGAATATATATCTCAATATACAGATATAACAACCACCACACTCTGACAGAGATATCTTTATATATATATATATATATATATCGCAGATCGTTATTTGAATTAAGAAAGCGACGAAAGATACATATATATATCTCACGAGTCTTCGATCACGGATAACGATATATCATATTGTGAATACATATAACTTGCCAGTGACTTTAACTTATTATACGACAGAGTGAAAGTATCAAAAGAAATATTAAAAAACGAGAGAGTGAGAGAAAAATAAATATATATACGTACATATATATAAATACATAAATATATATATATATTTATTTGCACACGCATTAATTCTCGACTGTATTAAACATTAAACAGCGTCTGATACGGGCCATCTCTTACGTGTAATGTGAAAACGATTTTTTTAGCTTTTCAATATAGAGTTCCAGTATATCTACCAATTGCCAATTCTTTGGGCCAATCAGCAGTCAATCCAACTTGGAAAAAAAGTTCAATATTGTTTCCTTTAGGCGCAGCTGTATGTCAACTGGAGTTTGTAACTATTGTTATCTCAGGTTCGCTCGAACGTCCTGAAAAATTTCGCTCTCTCGGCCATACTGATATCCACGTATTATTGCTCATTTTTTTCTCTCTCGGCGCAGCTGTATGTCAACTGGAGTTTGTAACTATTGTTATCTCAGGTTCGCTCGAACGTCCTGAAAAATTTCGCTCTCTCGGCCATACTGATATCCACGTATTATTGCTCATTTTTTTCTCTCTCCGTTCAATTTTTTTTTTTTTTTTTTTTTTTTTTTTTTTTTTTTTTAATTTGGCAAGCTCATGCGCACTAATGTAACTTAAATTGCGATCTCTGCGTGCAGAGCAGCCTTCTCGTTTTTGTTGTTGTGCCTCTCGTAATTTTGATCTTTCGCATTTCAACGAGGAAAAAAAACGAGGATGCGCAAACGTATATTTTTCTTTTCATATCCTTGCTTTTGCCAGGAAAAACTCGTCTGCTTATTCTAGGAACGGTATGATACTACTATTACTATTACTAACTATTTACTACTACTACTACTACTACTACTAACTACTTAATACTACTACTACTACTACTAACTACTTACTTACTTACTACTACCTCTACTTACTGCTAGTACTATTACTACTACCACTACTACTGTTACTGATACTACTACTGCTACTATTATCACTACCATTTATCGCTATTAAGGACTGTATCATTATTCGTTATTTCAGTCTATAATTTTTTAATTTTTTTTTTTTTTTAATTAATTTTTCCAAATTTTATGGTAGAGAGTAATGTAGATTTGCTTTTATACTAACACTAGCATATATATACATATATATATATATCTATATATTTATATATACGTATCGAAACACTTAATATAAAGTATATATATATTTACATCTCTAGTTAATGAAAATTCCATATCAAAGTGTACCGATATGTTCATCAAAAATTAGCCCAGTGGCCCTTTTCCAAACTATACGAACGAACTCACGTTTCTTGTGTATTCTCGGTGTTGAACCTTTTAATATTTTTAACAGCGATTCTAGATTTTTCCAGGGGTCAAGTCAAAGTCCTTTTTCAAACTGAGAAATGGGAATGATTCGCATAAAAGTTAAAGAAAATTTTTGCTTCGTCTTTAGTTTTTAAATCGTACCAATTGAAAGATTCATCTAGTAAAATAAATCCGTTGAATTGCGTTGCAGGTCGGCTGGAGCGAACCAGGAGTCTCTGAACGATAGGTACATTAAATTTTTTCATTATTTTTTAACTTTACACATCCTCAAGGTATCTTAAAGACTCTCGCTCAGTTAAAAGTAACTCGCGAACGCGTCAAAAGTGTCATTTCCCTGTAAATTGTTATTCGCATATCGTGTGGAGTTTCGATATCTCGATAGAGACTTGAAGCTTTAGGAATACCAGGAATAAGCTTTCTTCATTGCCATTAATTTCGATGTTCCCATCTGTTTCTCTCATTCGCAGAAAATTGTTTGTCGGCGGACTCAGCTGGGAAACCACAGACAGTGAGTACTAATTAAATTAATTATCTCAATCCGTTTACCTTTTGATTTTGGACTGTGAGTTCGATTTCGGTTTCTATTGGAAACAAAAAATTTAAAAAAAATACAAGCAATGATGATTTAATCTTAGGACACCTTCGGACGGCAGAATGTCACTGTCGCATGAGACGAATGACGTTTATTTACTGAGCTTGCTATTTATTATTACATTTATTGAGAAAGCAAACTGCGCTAGGCTCGAAGGACCTTAATAATTGTATAATTGAATTTTCAGAGGAACTGAGGGATCATTTCGGCTCGTACGGAGACATTGAAAGCATCAATGTCAAGACAGATCCTAACACTGGACGATCACGAGGGTTCGCCTTCATTGTCTTCGCCAAGGCAGAATCCCTGGACAAGGTAAACAGTCGATACTTATGACATATGGGATGTATGAAAATGTAATGATTATTTTTTCTTTTATTTGCTTATGATGATACCAAAAAGTCAGTTCTGCTACTGAGTGCATGTGACGACAACATTGGCTCCTGACGTGTCCTTTATGGATCTTAGAATAATCATAGACGATCAAGGCTAGAGCATTGTGGTGACGTTAAAATGTATTTTTCAATTGTTCAGATTATGGCAGCTGGAGATCACGTAATTAATAACAAAAAGGTCGATCCCAAAAAAGCGAAAGCCCGTCATGGAAAGATCTTCGTCGGCGGCCTCTCCACAGAACTTTCAGACGACGACATCAAGAACTTCTTCTCACAGTTTGGAACAGTAAGCCAGTTCTCTCCTTTTTTTCCCTCCCTGATTCAAAGTATGAATTGGAACGTAAGTTTAATTGATTGTTTCATTGCGCGTCTCCAGATCGTAGAAGTAGAGATGCCGTTCGACAAGACAAAGAACCAGAGGAAAGGGTTCTGCTTTATCACTTTTGAATCCGAGCAAGTGGTTAACGAGCTCTTGAAAACGCCAAAACAGACCATCAACGGAAAGGAGGTGGGTATCGCGATTAGGATTAATCGTAGATCATTTGGATACGACATCACTCGCGATGGAAAAGAATAATAAAAACTGCAAATTGCATTTATCGAATTAGGTCGACGTGAAGAAAGCGACGCCGAAGCCCGACGGTATGGGCGGCATGAGAGGTGGCGCCGGTGGTCGAGGTGGACGTGGTGGCAGAGGAGGCAGAGGTCGCGGATTTGGCGGTCAAGGAGGCTGGGGACAAGGTGGCTACGGCGGTGGCTACGGAGGTGGTTACGGCCAAGGTGGCTACGGAGGTGGTTATGACGGTTATGGAGGCGGATACGACTACTATGGTGGTGGGTACGGAGGCTATGGCGGCTACGACTACAGCGGATACGGTAATTTCATTGAATATTATTAGACGCGCCGTCCGTTGGCCGACTCTGCGATTCCTATCGACTGTTTATTTTTTTACGAGCGACGTAGGACGCGCCCGACCCCGCCACAGATGCACGGCAGACGATTACGAGAGAGAAAGAAAGTTATTTGCGTAACTATGTCACTTTCATTGCTGTCTACTCTCACTGTTGGCAGATGCCCAATGTCATGTCTTTATTTTGGTTCATTTCTTATCCTTAATCGGATTTAAGACCGCGCTCGAGATATCTACTATTGTCAAGAGATATTAGACGAAATGAATTTTCGACGACTGAAGCTTCGGATCGTCTGCCCCGGTGCTAACTCGTAATAAAGAATGGCGGTCTTGGTTAATACCTGGTGTTATGTACTTACGTACCGTGGGAAACGGTGAAAGATGTGTGATATTAATCGTAAACTGATGCCGCAGCGTGAGGTGCTGGTTTGCAGGCGGATCAGTCCCGATTTCTCGTACAACTCGTGTGTCTGGCTCCTCTACTCCACTCGTTAATTTTTTTAATTTTTTTTTTTTCTTAATTTGGAAATCGATTCATTCTCTTGCCTCTCTTATCTTCTTGTGCCTCGTTCGTTCTCTTTATGATGCTATTACCACCAGCACGAGCAAATCTTTAGCCATTTCCTCTCAATTCTCTAATTCTCGTGTATCTTTGCAAGTCTGGTCCGTTATACTTTATGGTAGTGTTGTAAACCAGCGACTTCAGCACGTAGAGTCTATCGTTCGGATCATGTTCGTTTTTGTACTTGTTAGACGATGGTGATATCGATTATTAAGATGACGACGACGACGACGACTATGGAATCGAACATAATCCGGGAACAGTTCTCCGCTACTTCCAAAGAGTGTAGGCCGTCGTTGTTGCGCTGTGACCAACTAACGTTTACCTAACCTTACCTACCGATTCGCTAAGTTATATTCTTTGATGCCTTGTTAATATTTAACTAACATACTATATCTATGCGAATGAATATATAACGTATTAACGATATAATAGAGAAACAAAAGAAACATATAATATGTAACAGTGAAAGTGTGAAGACAGTCGAGACGTGAAGATTTTATTTTGCACGTTCTTACTATTTTTTTATTCTTGATTGTCGCTCGATCATTCGTCGCGATCCAAAATTTTAGAATTTTTTTTATTTCTATAATTTTCATACAATTATCTTTGACTGCTATAGACTGATGCAACTCAGTAGCAAAAATTGACTTTAAAAATCCCTTATGAACGAATTTTGAGTTTATCGATCTCGAGTGAATCGCGTTTGAGTCATTTTTTTCGAGGATGTTTATTGTTAACTGTTATCTACCTTTCATACGTTCACTGATTGATGTCAGTGGATCAATAGAATTTAATTATTCTTGCAGTTTAACTAGAAATTATGTTCCTGGTACTTTTTCTCTTTCTTTTTCAAACTCGGCCTCTCCCTCTTTAACCCTTTAAATTCTGTAGACTCGCTGACTTCAAAATCACGCAATCACTGTAACATAATTATATAAATATATCAAAGGAAGATGTGTGGTGAAAATTAAAGGAAAAGTGTACAGGACGATACGGCGTATCAAATGGTATATTAATACCCCCTTGTTCCTGCATTCGAGTCCCGCCACGTTCCTACCATGCATGTCTTCACGTTTCTGCGGAGTTGCGTCGTTAATTTACGTGAGAACCGCGACAGAGTTCGCCAAACCTGCATTTGGCAAACGCCGTCGCGTATTACTTAGCGATTATTATTTCCCTTGGCGCATCCGCAGCAAAATCGATCCGCGTGATTCGCATCGCACAAGTCACGCGGCAGTAGTTCTCGTACGTTTCTCACAATGGAGCATGCTTCTCTCTTACAGTAGTATTTCGTACAAAGATAGTGGATTTAGAAAAAAAAAAAAAAAATAATAAGAAACAAAAGTTTCAGAATTCTATTTTTAGATACGTTCAGTGTACAGCCGTCAATTTTTTGTTTCGTTTGAACGTCGTGCATGAAGATAAGCCAATAGTCGTTAGCGCAGATCGAAGAACACCGATAACGCAAAGAATAAATCGTAGATCGGTTCACCCCCCACCCCCCACCCATCTCTTTCATTCTTTGCTAATAAGGGACAACAAAAGCATGCGTGTTCATTTAATGTCCGTAGGTCCCAAAAAAAAAGACCCAAAGTATTTCAGTGAAGATCCCTGATCTTCCGGACCCCCGTCGAATATGCGAATCTCTTCTCAAGGTGTGTCGAGGTTTCGAAAAATCCCCAGGTGCTCGAAGGGATTGTCGGGAAAACGTGATGTCGTCGGGAGACGAAGACGTCGTGTGCCAAGAGAAAAGAAATAATAATAAAAGGATAAGAAGATCCCTATTCGCGAAGGATGCCCATCGGGGCGAGCATTGTGCTCTCTCTCTCTCTCTCTCTCTCTCTTTTTTTTTTTTTTCTTACTTACACTCACTATAGAACTAAAGTCTAGATACGAAAAACGGTATAACGTCGATACTGACCCCATTGTCTCTTGTACCGTGTGTTCCATGAAAAGCAGACGGCTATGGCTATGGCGGTGGTAGTTACGATGGTGGCTACAGTGGTGGGCGCGGTGGTGCACGCGGTAAAGGTACGCATTAGCGTTCCTTCTCTTTCTCTTTATTGTTTTGTTCGTCCCCCTCCCCCCCCCCCC